CAGCATCTAGCGCAGTCTAGGTCCCATGTCAGGCTCTCTCTCGACCTGGTAAAATGGGTCCCAGTTGCCCCCGACTTCTCAGCTTATCGGATGATGAGCACGGGTTACCCGGTTCCCTAGGTGGTTTGCCACTTAAGGGCTGGATGGACACAGTGACCGCGACGCGTATCGCAGGAGATACGGTACTAGTCTGGGCGAAGTTAAGTTCTAAGTGATAGCATAAATTAGGGAACTCATCCAAGCCGTGCCACGCATCCTAGAGGAGTACGATAGTAGCTGGATGGTCCGGACTTCTGAAGAAGTAGGATGGGGTATCGACTTCGACCCCGATACATACTAGAAAGGAATACGGCCCTGGCCGGAGGAACAGTCCGAAGGGGACTCTCAACCCCGACCTTATTCGTCTTTCCCGCAGGACAACGTTATTGGTCGAGGGAATTTTACTTCCGAGGAAGCGAGCCATGGGGTAACTCTAAATAGATGTCAACTCCGACCTTACTCGCATCCGAGGGAGTACGTTATTAATCGAAGAAATTACACTTCCGTAGGAAACGGACCGTGAGACGGTCAGACTAGATACATATAGAGGGACTCGCCCAGTCTATGTTACGCATCCGATGGAGTACGCCATTCGGCCTGAGGTGTTAGATGAAAGGGTCATATCCTGACTGGGGCGTGCATCCGGGGGAGTGCGACGCTTGCTCTGGATAGGAGGATAGGCGTTCCCAGGGGGAATTGATAGCTTGGCCACTGGTGGACATCTCCCCGGAGGGATTTTACTTCTTGCTTTGTGAGGCACTAGATAAGAAGTCATTTTGCCCTCACTCATCGGGGTCACGAGCGAGGTCATAGTCTTATGTGACCATAGGGATCGACATAAGACAACGACGCGGGCTAAGACATCGGCCCAAGGACCAGAGGTGGTGCCGTTGGACGGATGAATGGAAGTTCTCTACATCGCGGGGCGCTAACGCAAGGGGGAGTCGCTACTCGAATGCAGCTGGTGCGGAGTAGGGCGTTACCTCGACTCCCTTACTGCCTGGATAGTCTTTGCGTTGTGCTTACGCAGAAATTTCTGGGTTTTGAGAACGTGCTTGTGACATTCCCCGAAGGGGAAGAGGTCCGGAAATCATCAGGGAAAGCCTGCGAGTCGGTGACCTCAATTCCTGTGGTGCCTGAGTGGCAAGCACGTCCTGGTGGGGAGTGCCCTGATTGATCACTCGGTCCACTGGAGGGGACTGGCGGGGAATATCCGAAGATCTGAGAGGCCTGAGCCCTAGAATCCCGGAAGGATACTGTCCTAGAGGACGAGCAAGTTCGCGGGGAAGCATGCTTAGGGTGTGCGCGGTCCGCGGAGGAAGCTGGCACGGGGCGAGCCACTGAGGCCTGGGGGGGGGAGGGCGGGGGCGGGGGTGGATATGACAGAGGAAGGGGATTACTTGGTTGGCGCGCGGGCTAGACGTGCGATCGGACATATAAAGATTTTAAAAAAAAATAGAAATTATTAACAACTAAAATTAAAATGATAGAGTAATCAAAGTTAAAAAAACGTATGTTTTTAGTTGATGCAGTTATTTTTTCTGCTATTTTCCGCAAATGTTATGTTTTTAGTTGATGCAGTTATTGGTATTAAACCACAATCACAAAAACCATTTCTGTCTTTTTGTATTTAATCAAAATTTCTTATTTTTAATGTTTAATGATATATGGTTTCTCAATAAAAATATAATAAAAAATTATTATTAAACCTTTGAAATTATATTTTTATAAAATTCTCTGGTAGCTCTTTGTTCATCTCTTCGTCAAGGTTTTTATAATCTGTAATCGCTCGCTTTCACAAACTCTATGTGACCGAATCGTTTAAACCAATCAGATCTAAACTTATATGTGTGTGATTTATGGTGTTAAATAATATATTTAATGTTTGATTGTTATTAAAATTAAGAGTTGATATATTCCTAACTTTAATATATTTGTTAACATAAAATATAATGGATCATAACATATACAAAACTTGATTCATTAAATAATATTTTAATATGTGAGAAAAAATATATGCATTAAAAATTAATATGTGTAAGATAATATTTAAAATATTTCAAATAAAACCTTAAAATCGATCAAAATAATTTTTATGTATGTTTTTATCTTCTTTGACTCATACTTTTTTCTTAACATTTAATAATATATTAAATTTTAAGATCATCTCCAATGTATTTTTCTATTTATTTCATTAAAATATAAGTGGACTTTTCTCCAACCTATTCTATTTTATAGGGGGAACAAATTATTGTTATTTTTTTCTCTATAATTGGAGGAAAAAATAACAACTTTTCCCCCACTCTAAATTAGAAGATTTAAAATAAAGGTGGGTTGAAAATGCTTTAAACAAAAAATATAGCCTGAGATTTTTACATTAAACCAAAGTCGTAAAGATTCATTTTTACTTTTACTTTTATTTTTTATTCTTATATACAGTATTATAATAAAAAGTTAGCTAACAGAATACTTATAATTTATTTTTCTATATTTTTATTTTTTTGTTTTATTTATAATTTCGAATTCTTGCTATACAATGAGAATTCATTCATATATGATATAAAGTTTTCTTATTTAAAAATAAGATTTATTTAGGTTTAACTTAACCAATCAAAACATTTCGTTTATTTTAGGAAATTTGTCATATCACATTTATGAGGTGTCATTGTTTTGCACTAACTTTTGCTAAGATGATGACACATCATATTTTTTCATTAAACATGCTTCTCAAATAATAGTTAAGATTCTAATAAAGTAAGGTTTTTCTAACAACCAGCTCTGATATGCTACCATCTGGCATCGAAAAAACTGACATGTATCACTTTTTTTTTACAACTTCTGTTAAAAAAAATTCATTAAATAAACACAAGAAGAAAGCTTCAGTTTTTTTTCTCTTTTATAAATGACAATTTTCATCCAACAAACAGAAATGAAAATAAAATCACTCAAATAAATTTAATATAATATAATAAAATAATATGTCATTTTCTTTTTTTTCTTTTTTTTCTTTTTTTTCTTCTCAGCACTATTCTCTTTCAATATGGGTCTGATTGGTGTGATGTGTGCATTAGAAGAATTGAGAGGAATTAAGTAGAATGTAATTGAGAAGAAAAGAAAAGTTATAAATAGAAGAATTTTTTTTATTTCTTTTGAATGTATTCTTTTAGATAGAGTAAATTTTTCAACTTGGTTTGGGTGGAAGGAAATTTTCCACACATTTCTACTGATTTCATAAGATAATTTTTTTTCTTCTGTTTTTTTTTCTTTTCTTTCTGATTTGTTTACTTTTTGAAATTACTGGAAGATTTTTTAAACTTTTCAGAGTTGACTGTGACATTGTTCCATCGCAAAAATATATTTATTTTTTTATGTTTTCTTTTTATAACATAATAAGAGCTGACTTTGACTGTGTCATTGTTTCTTTCTTTTCTTTTTTTTTCTTCTTCTCAGCCCTATTCTCTTTCATTATGCATCTTACTTCATATTATTTAAATAGAGATTTTCTAAACTTTTAAGAGCAAATATTTTTTTTAACTTTTTCTTTTCTTCTATAGACCATAACCAGTCAGACCCTATGTCTCTTACTTCACATTATTCAAAGAGATTTTTCAAACTTTTAAGAGCTGACTGTGACATTGTTCAATCGCAAAAATAAATTTTTATGTTTTCTTTCTATAACATAATAAGATCATGTGTCATTGTTTCTCTCTCTTTTTTTTACCTTCTCAGCCATATTTTCTTTCATTATGCCTCTTACTTTATATTATTCAAAGAGATTTTCTAAACTTTTAAGAGGTGACTGTGACATTCTTTCATCGCAAAAAATAGATTCATTTCTTTATGTTTTATTTTTGACCAAATGAACAGAAAATCATGTATTATTTGCTTTTGTGAAAAAAAGTAGATTTTTTATAATATGCCTCAAGTAAATATTGTGCTTCTAGTCTTCGGCCCATCTTGCCAAATATTTTGTTTGAAACTTTAGTTATATTAAATTACTAGGAGAAGATGTTTTTCTCATCTACAAATAATTATTTTTCGTCTAACAAACAGAAACGAAAATCAGTAAGGTCTTTTTTCAGAACGAGCTCTGATATGCTGCCACGTGACATCTAAAAAAACTAACATATGTCACTTTTTTTTTACAATCTCTATTAAATTTGCTTTCATTAAACAAACACAGAAAGAAGGCTTTAGTTTTTTTTTCTCTTCTACAAATGATTATTTTTCATTTAACAAACAGAAACGAAAATCAGTAAGGTTTTTTTTTTCATAAACAACTTTGATATGCTGTCACGTAGCATCTTCGAAATTGACATGTGTCATTTTTTCCTATTTTTATTGTATTCACTTTCATCGAACAAATACAAAAATAATGTTTCAGTTTTTTACTTCTTCTCCACTAGATTCTCTTTTATTATATCTCCTATTTCACATTATTTAGATTTTTTTAACTTTTAAGAGCTGACTGTGTCATTGTTTTTGTCTAGAAACATAGATTCATTTCTTCATGTTCTCTTTGTAGCAATCAAAAAGAAAATCATGCACTATTTGCTTTCATAAAATCTTTTTACATTAAGACCTTACTACTTACTTTCCTACTGCATCCAACCTCAAATCGCCATTATTATCACTATATGGATTATATTATCGAGAACTTTCTTTTCGATCATCCCCAATAACAGCATTTCTTCTCTTAAAGGTTCAAACCAAACATTATTATTTCACTAGTCTTTTCATATAAAATTTAAAGAATGTATATAACTTAAAAACTAATATTTACCGATAAAATTTACTAATAAATATAATAAAATTGATTATAAAATAGAAATAGTCAAAATATCACAAATTCTGCGCACATAGATGATGTAATACAAGAAAACGAAAAATCAATAATTGGCTTCCAATGGTGTGCTAGAATATATTGTAAAAATTAAATATCAAACTAAATATTTTATTGGGCCGTATGTATTTCTTATTTCAAAATCCATAATTTCAACGAGGCGTGATTTATTACTGAGAAAGAGAATCCGAAAGCCAAGTGGAGAGAGAGAGAAGTTGAATTTGAAATTAGATAACGCCGATTTTCTACTCTCCGGTTATTTTTATCCGCCGGAATTTCTCCTCCCACCGTCTCTTCTTCTCGCTGCCGCTTACGGTTGTTCTTCTTCCGGCTATACTTTTTTCCCCTGGTAACTTAAGCTTCTGTTCTGCGCCAGTTCCCGATCTCTCGAATCGGCGTCCTTTGTGTTTTAGGTTTTCGTTTCTTATACCCAGAATCTGAGAAGACGTATTTGTGGCTCATCTAGTTTACTTTTTGTTGCTAATTCATCACCTAGCTCGATCGTTTTTCCCTAGCTTTTATTGGCGATTTTGAACTTCTCAATCTAGTACTGTTTATATTGTTCGGTGGGTTGTGATCGAGTTCGTAGTTTTACTTTACTCGTTCTCTGTAAGATTATAATATCTATCTTCTTTGTCGATTTTCCCTCGATCTGATTAGCTTTTTATAAACCATTTCTTCTCGATTATGTGCTTTTTTATCTTAGCGAATAATGAAAAATCCGAATTTCTTATCCAGATTGTTCAATGCTCGATTTCATTACTTCTATTGTGTGGTTTTTATGTTAATACACATCTAAGCTCATATAATTTAACATTTTTGATAACCACTTGAATTCTTATATGCTTGTTGTTTTTGTTTTCAGTTCTTCAAGATGATTGGATCGTTTCTTACAAGAGGATTGGTGTACGAAACCATACTATTCTTACATTTGTTTGCTAAAATGATACTGGATTTGGGAGTTACTGTTGATTACAGCTACTAAATTTTTCCTACATATGTTGCAGGATGGTGTTGGGCTATGCTTACCCTGCGTATGAATGCTACAAGACTGTTGAAAAGAATAGGCCTGAGATTGAACAGCTTCGCTTTTGGTGCCAGTACTGGTATATTGTTAAATTGCCTTGAAGTTTGGCGTTTATGCCTCAGAAATGACTTACTTACTCTTAAGTAACTATCAATTCGCAGGATATTGGTTGCTTGCTTGACAGTTTTTGAGAGAGTTGGTGACGCTTTTGTTTCATGGTGAGCATTATAAACCAAAAAGCCGCTTGATTTCGCCAACTACGACAATATTTTTGCATTTCTCATCGTTCTTTTCTCCTGAAGGGTTCCAATGTACAGTGAAGCTAAGTTAGCATTCTTCATATACCTGTGGTATCCGAAAACAAGGGTAAGCGTATAGATTTGGTTGAAGGAGAAAAACGAGTCTTTTATATATGTACATGAATCATTTCTCTTTGATTTGTTCAGGGCACTACATATGTCTACGAGTCCTTCTTTAGGCCATATCTCTCACAGCATGAGAATGACATAGACCATAGCTTGTTGGAGCTAAGGACAAGAGCTGGAGATATGGCGGTTATATACTGGCAACGAGTTGCAAGCTATGGTCAGACCAGAATCTTTGAGATTTTGCAGTATGTCGCCGCACAATCAACTCCAAGGCCGCAGCCACCTCAGGTACAATTAAGAAAACCCGAAACGATCTCCTAGTGAATCAGTCAATGCATGTATGATACGAATTTGCATTTTCATGTTTGCTCATCTTCATCATATCCGTTTGTTATTCAGAAACGCGGAGGCAGAGCTAATCAAGCTCCTCCTAAGCCTAAGAAAGCCCCTAACGTTCAACCAGAATATGAAGAAGCAGAGTTGCCCTCGTCGTCTAGCTCATCTTCAAGCGATAATGAAGGTAATGAGACTACTGTTAAAGCAGCAGGCCCTTCAAAACCGGCGTCCGCGCCTGTCGCCGATACGAAAACCGCTCAGATAGTACAAAAATCAGTCTCTTCTCCAACTGTACACCCAGCAACCCAAGTGGAAACGGAACCAATGCAGATAAAAGAAGTAGAAGCGGAATCGGTGAACGAAATCTCTAACACGGAAGGTCCAAAGGAGACGGTAATGGAGCAGACAATCAGGATAACTCGTGGGAGGTTGAGAAAGACGCGATCAGAGGAGACCCGTTGAAGAAAAGGTTATTGTTAATTACTTACATAACATTTGTCTCTCGTTCTCTCTCTCTCTCTCTCTTCTTTCTAGAATTACGTTGACAGGGCACTAATTGACTAGTGGGAATGCTTGTACGGAAAGTAAATTTGGTTCTCTCTTTATTTCATTCGATTCGTTACGTTAAGTGTAGAGACGACTCTCCTGTTTTGTTTGTTTGTCCTGGTTTGTTAAAAAGGTACAACTACTTGAGAGTAGAAATGAAGCAAACATCAGCCATAAATTAATAAGTAGTTAGAAGGCTGTTTAAAAGATGGATTGCACCTAAACCTAATCATGTGATCTAATGACACTTTAAAACCAAATTAGAATTTATACTAACTCTCTCCGGTTGTGTGCCATTATGATTTATTGAAAAATTTAATAATACAAATTAAATGAAATATAGTTAATGCATAAATTAATGTATTAACTATAATTCTAAAAGAATATAAATAATATGAAGATTAATATCCAAAAAAAAAATATATTTTTTGGTAGTTTTTAAAATCATTAAACAATTTATGTTTCTTATTTAAGAGTGTTCTCTTATTTATTATTAATATCATAAGCTATTATTATAAAAACAATTATATAAATATAAAAATAACAATTATTTGATATTTTGAACTTTAAAACGTTAGAAGTTTATACAGTATTATTATATAGTTTTAAACAATTTCTTTATAAACTAATAATTATTTGATAATTTATATTATTCAAACTTGATTAATTAATAATTTTTAAATTATTAAGATATTAAAGTCCTAATATATTTATTTATAAAATATTTAATGCAGCTATATAATTAAAATTATAAATCAATTATTTAAGATAATAAACATATAATATATAATATATAATATATATAATGGGTTTAACATCAATTTTTAAAAAAACTAAAAATCTATAATATATAATCGTAAGCGCAGGTACTCTCCTAGTGGTTTATAAAGGGATTGAAATTATGTAGCTGTTATTAAGACCAACCATAAAAGATTTGTGAAAGACCCAAAATCTTTTTTTTTTAAAGATTGAAAGGTTTACGTATTTGGTGGCAGTTACATTACAACTTTCGTAACCTCAAGTGTATTTTTTTGTTGTTGTTTGTTTTAGGTTGATAATAATATTAAAACTTCAAAGAATACAAGATGAAATATAAGGGAGATATGCATTAATTTTACTGACTTCATAAAAAAATGGAAATCCAAAAATTAATACAACTGAAAATCAACAAAAAAAAAACGAGAAAGAAACACAAAATTGAAACCAAAACACTAGTTTTTGATATAGAAATCCACACTCAGAAATTTATGTGTTTTTGTAATGAAAGAACTTTTAGAGAATTAAGGGCTAGATTCTCTCGAACAGATTGACAGTATAAGCTAGCACTAACTGAAATAAGGACTTGATATTAATCGGTTGAATGAAACGGTTACAAGGATTTCTCTGAAAGAGATGAAATGAAAAGAGCTTGAAAAGCAGTTACAGAGTTTTCGTGTATCAGAAAGTGTAGAAGATGAACTAGCTGCCCCCCCCCCCCCCCCCCCCCCCCCCCCCCCCCCGAACTAAGCAGTTTGTGTCCTTTATATAACTCGCCTCGTCGAGCTTCAACCTCCAGCGCGTATCTCGACCACGTGCAGCAGCTTCAGCCGGAAATCTTGGCCACATGCAGCAGCTTCCTCCGCGAATTTCGGGCTCGTTTGAACTGGCGAGGATATGCTCTCTGACTTGGCTCTGATCCTTCCTTGTTTCTCGGAATTTCGTCAAGCTGGAGGTCGACTTCGTCGAATGGATCGTTTGACTGTTCGGATTTGGACCGTTTCGAGGAAATGGGCCTGGACTTTATGGTCAAAGCCCAGCCAATTTGTGCTTAGTTTGGATCTGCTTGTTGGGCTTGAGTGGGCCAGATTTAGGGTGTGAAATCCAGCTCCAACAATTTGCCCCTCAGTCCATTAACGAGAGCGAGCTCGAGCTTTAATGGGTGGCAAGATGTAACTTTTTAAAGATTTTGTATTTGCCGTGCTGCCGCCAAGGTGTCAGGTAATCATTCGAGATCAATGGCTCAGATCCTGGAAAGGTGAACAGTCCATTGATCGTTTGGTCGGGAATCGACCTCGAAGCCGCAACTTTATTGTTGAGATAAGTTTGTTATTATCTCGTCTAGGTGGATGGTGGGGGTTTGGAGTAAATATTGTTATTCACTCTTATTTTCCGTGGTCGAGCTTCCCGGGCCAAGGTGCAGCCCTCGAGGGGATTCACGCAGATACTTTTTCGACGTGGAAGGTCCAGATAGAGAGAGAGAGAGAGAAAGATGATCTGGCAGCCCTGGTTAATTGGGCTCTGCAACACGTTAAATCTGCGAAGCCGAATATTCGACGGTTGAGACCGCGAGATCGAACGGTGGAGATTGACGCGTAGTGAGAATTTTTGCGATCTCCGAGGTGGGCAATTATTTCTGAGATATAAAGTCCACCTCCCCCACTCCTTCTTTAACCGCACTTGCTACTCGATTAAAGGTAACTTCTTCTTCTTTGCTTCTCTTTTATTTTCTGCAACTTCCGTTTGTCGCGATTTTTTGAGAAAAGAAGTTTTTGGTAGATCGTTTGTTTTTAGAAAAACTTCGGTTTTCTTATTTTTTGGGTTTAGTGTTCTTCGTCTTCTTCTCCCTTCTTTCTTTTCTCGACGTCGGTGATTGTAAAAATCAAAGGGGAAGGGTCCGGGAGGAACATCGCAGTTCCGGGCCCGTCCAAACTAAACGATCACAAGGCTCTCGACAACTTCCGTCGAGAATGCGAAATCCCCGACAGGGTGGAGCTGGCGGTCTTGACGTCAGCGGAGACTCTGGCGAACGTGGAGCCGGATTTTTGTTGTGCATACGCGACATACTTCCGGGATTGCAGGCTATTTTTTCCGATCCTCCGGTTCGTCCTCGAAGTTCTTCGCGGATCTGCGGCTGGCTTTCCCATATATGTGCCCGAATCTGGTTCGGGCCATCATCAGGTGCGCCTTACGAGCCCGAGAAGGGTCTTTCACTACTTGGACTTAAGGGCGTTCTTCTTCGTCAAATATAACGCTTGACGTCCCGGGACTTTCTATGCATCTCCAAGATCAAACCGGCGGTTCATCGAGGAGAGCACGGAGAAGGACTTTGGTTGGGAAAAGACGGGGTTCAAGTTCAGAGTCAACGAGGCATCCATCGGAAGCTTCGGCTTCACTCGGCTGCCGACCGAGTTCGCGGGCAGCGGTTGTTTAGCTAAGCTTAGGCGTTTGCTAGCTATACCTGCCTTGTTTTGCTCAACTGGCTTTCTGACTTCTTCTTGTTTTTTTTTGGTCTATCAGGTCAGCTATCCAGAGCACCAAGGGATCTTGATGTCGAGCACCGGTTAGAATTATTCAGGCGAGGAGAAGTCATTTGGAGCACGTTCACATGAGAACGAGTTCGACAAGTTCTCACTTCACCCGTTCCGGCCCCGGTTGTCGCACCTGGTAATTTTCCATCGAGCTAGTGCTACAAATTTTTTCGTTTAATTGATCATGATGAAGTGATGTGTAACTGTTTCTTTGCAGGCAGCTGGATTTCTACCTCTCCGTTCTCTTTCGGCTTCCAGTTCTGCAAGTTTGACGTCTGCTATGTCTCGCAAGCCAACCTTCCGTCAAAGATCTGGGAAAGCCCCGGCTGGTCCCAACAGCTCCAGGATCCGCTCTGGTAGTATTAAGGAGGCCCTCGAGGCTGCGCTGGCCTCGACTGTTGCTCCAACACCTCACATTCGTGATGAGGAGGTTGAGCAGACGGCAAATCCTCAAGCTGGACCTCCTTCCCGACTCCTAGGGGCGATCTCTGTTAGCTCGGACAAGACCCAGCGCTCCGTTGATGATCAGGAGCCCGAGCAATTGTCCTGGCCTGCCCCAAAGAGGATGAGAGGTGAGGAGGGGACGAGCTGCAGAGGTACACCCGACGGCATCCCAGCTCGATGGGGAGCCGGCCATTCCACTAAAAGTTTGAGCAGACCAAGGATCATCCGATCACGGATGATGCTGAGGGTAAGGCGGCCATGTGGTGCCATTTTAAGACCGCTGGTTGTCAGCATTTTGCTCTCAAAAAGATGACTGAGAGGGAGCTCTACGTTGAGATGGCGTTGGCTCAAGGAAAGGTAAAGGGTGTCCCTTGTTTCTTTGTGCGTTTTTTTTTGGTTAAATTTTATTGACTTAACGATTTGGTCGCCGATGCTCACAGGCTGCAGAGGCTGGCAACCGGCTCTACGCTCATCTTGAGTAGAGGCGGCAGGACGTCCCTTACCCGGGAGAGATCGAGGAGATGGGGAGAGTAGTCGGCAAGCTGAAGTCCGACCTTGAGGCCGCAAATGTGCAGGTCGCTCGCCAGACTAACCTCCTCAAGCAATTTAGAGGTCAGCAGGCTCATATCACCGAGCTCGAGAACGAGCTGGTCGACAGGGGCGAGAAGTTCAAGGCCGCCACTAACCAGCTCTTCGAAGCACGGGCCGAGACGGTGCGAGCTCTCAATGAAGCCTTCGACGCGAAGGAGGAGAACGTCTGTCTGATCCGCAAGTGTGAGGGTGCTGTTCTTCAAGCCAGTCGTGAGGCCCGGAAGGAGATGTCTCGGAAGTTCAGGGAGGTGCTCGAAGGCTTCAAGGTGAAGTGGGAGAGGAAGAAGGCCGAGGGTGTGGCCGAGTGCGACGTCCAAGAGTGCATCGCCAACAAGGAGTTGCTTGAGCAGATCATCGCCGGGACCACTACTATCAAGGAGCAGCTGGAGAGGGTGAAGAAAGACGAGGAAGACTTGGGAGTGGCTTTTAAGGCCGCTCAGGTCTCAGACTTCTCGATTAGGTGGCTATGGAGGTCGATTCGGCTTCAGACGCGCCTCTTGGTCTTAATCAGTTTGGTTTAAACCTGGAATAAGGTGGGAGTAATGATGCAGAGAGGGGAGGTGAAGATGATGAGAAGGTGGGTGGTTAGCTCGGAAGCTGACCGTGGCTCCTTTCTCTTTCCCTTCTCCCTCTTTTTAAATTTTATTTTCAAACTTGGTTGCCCGGCGGGGCTTTTACGCTTGTTCTGGTGCCCGAGAGGGCTTTTATCTGTATTTTTGAACTCATCTGTGCCCGAAAGGGCTTTATTTTGATTGTAATCAGGCCTCGTGCCTTAGACTTTGTTTAATTTGCCTTTTGCATTCAGTTGTTCGAGTAGGATTTTTGCTAAGTTGTT